TGTGTGTGTGTGTGTGTGTGTGTGTGTGTGTGTGTGTCGCGTGCGTGAATATTGTTCGTACATGCATTTATGTAAAGCGCCTAGAGCTGTGTTTACACGGGAGTGGGCGCTATAGAAATGATCTTCATTATTATTATTATTACTATTATTATTATTATTATTATTATTATTATTATTATCATATGAACTGACAAAGGTGTGTACAGGTGGCGCTTCATTTCTGTATGATGAGAACAGTGACAAAACCCGCTATATACGTTTATCTCTTTTGATTGAGAGAAGAGAGGCACATCGACACATAAAAGCATCCCTTGCTTGAGTAAAGAGAAGCACTTCGGCACAATATCGGTCATTTAGTGCAGTAATAGTGAGGCGGACAGAAACAACAGGCAGAAGGAAACACAAAAAGTATAGCCAACAAATGGAGCCCTCCAAGTGCCAAATACCGACAGAAACGGCTTCAGACCTGATCTGAATTGTGCTTTCAAACAGATAAATCAGCATTTTTTTTCGAATCTTCTGTCATGACCACCCGTCAAAGATAATAAGCTGTACAGGAATTCAACCATTTCCTACTCCAACCACCTCACCCCCTTCCTTACGTTTGTTTTTCTTCTGATGTGTTAATGCTGGTCCCGACGTTTTATGCAAGACAAATTCTTAAATTAAGCAAATTGAACCCCAAAAATGTGAAATTATGCGATTCTGTTAATTTTAACAAAGAATAGTAAATGAAAATAATCAGAAATTATGTAAAAAATGATCAAATTTGGCTAAATTATGGGAGGTGCATAAAACCACGGGGACAGTTAATGACACTGCTCAAGAGAACTATCTGTCTAAAATGATTTCATTTCTCCCCAGCAATGGATGGTCGTCTTAGGCAGATTTGACAGCTTATTGTGCATTGGTCTTTTTAAATAATAAATCATTCTATTCCTATTTTTTTTAAACACCACTGTTGTTGGACTTAGCATGTTTGACCAGACCACCCCTGCGATGTTTTTCATCTTCCCGCAGCCTCAGACCTGAGAGCAGATAATCATTATTGTCTCCCGCCTTTGTCCGGTCACTACCAGTCACGTGATCGCTCAGAGGGCGCCACCTGTACTGGGCGTTGCCTGTAAATTTCCTCCCGGGGCTCGCTTCAACGGCTCGTGAAATTGTCATAGATCGGAAAATCTTTAAACACAAACTTTTCCCAACTCGAGATTAACATGGGTCTATCTCAATTATAGGCCTACTCAATGTTTGAGATGCAGTCGCAGCTTTGTCTAAGACAT